GTAAAGCGGATCAGACACTTTCTTGGCTGACATTGAAGTAAATGCATGGACCTGTCTGAACTCGTTTGACTTGCTCTGCTCTGTTGGTTTCTCCTTTTCTTCTCCTGTTTGTTTGCCCTCCAGCTTCTTGTTAGTGCTATGAGCCTTTCCTTAATCCATACACAAATCCACACATACGCAGCAGAATATTCATGTTCGAGTTCACACTCGACGGCAAGGGATAAAACCAGAATCAGCGCACCAGAAAACTGCGCAATTTTTATTACATTATACAAAGAAATTGTTTGGATGACCAAGCGGCATAAGCCCATTCGTCAATCGTCCACTACTCAGGTAGGTTACTGCTCTCGCCATCCCCTGATGTGTGACACACTCTCTCTCTCTCTCTCACTCTCTCAACCTCTATCGCTCAACATCAGAGTTCTCTCTCTCTCTCTCTCTCTCTCTCTCTCTCTCTCTCTCTCTCTCTCTCTCTCTCTCTCTCTCTCTCTCTCTCTCTCTCTCTCTCCCCCCTACGATCTACCCGGAGTACACCTGCCCGATCTCGTCTTCAACCTTGACGGCTATGGCCGCCACCCCGTACACCAAACCCTAGCTATGGAGTACATTAAGTGCCTGCCTTCCTCCTTCGGCGCCTATTGCCTAAGTAGCCTATCGCACAAGCATCCGGCAGCGCTTCCGCAACTTGCGATTGAATATCTGTTTTGCGGTGCCACTGTAGCAGCTACTAATAGCATGTTTGCCTTGCCCGCGACCTGTTTCCAACCGGTACTGGTCATGTTGTCTTGTCTGCTGCATGTTCCTAGGTGAGTCTGGAAGGACTCGGGTCGTCTTTGGGACGCTGCTGCAAACTTGGACTTCGGGATTTGACTTTCCGTACCCAGCCTCTACTGGATTCCGACGCTTCAGTACGTGACTTTTACTGAACTGCGACGTTTTGACCTACGGACCCATAAGACCCGACCGACCTAGGACTTCTACCTTTTGTGACAGTCAGGGAGAGGAACCCTCTAGGACAGGGTGGGCTGGGACTCTGGGATCGGAACTGGGACGTTGCAGCGTGAAACCCTTTCACTCCGGCTGACCTAATTTCGAGGTCCTCCAAGAAAGAATGTATTTTTATCGATTTAATATTTATGACATTAATCCCTTTCCTAGCACGCACATAGTATGAAAGTATGTGAGGTGGAGTTTCTGTCAGTTCATCCTTTGCGTACCAGCGACCGTCTTCGGGTTCTTGATAAGCAAATCTGACCATGCACTGACGCTGCGGTCTGCCCCTTTGACCTGATCTGTAGACATCTTCATCGAGAATTCGGTCGATGTCATAACTATCGTCCATATCTGGTGGAATCATAGGTTTGTGTGAAGGAAAACGATCGTGCACTATGCAGGGTAGTAACTTGGATGTGTTGAAAACCGGATGGACCGTCTGCGTCTCCAACCATGTCTCGAACTTCCCAGGGTCCTCTATACGCAGGTTAGAGTTTCTGCGAAATGCCTTCCTCTGGAAGGAGCACGTTTGACCTGATCCAAACAAGGTCGCCAAAGGCCTCCTATGCAGGGTTATCAAGCCCCGGCCCTGGGGACCCGGCGGGGGTCTAGGGGTGGGCACCTCGAACCCCGGTTCCAGAGCCCCCCCCCACAATTGAAAACCAAAAAAAAAAAAAAAAAAAAAATATAAATACTGAGGGGTGCGCGGTGAGAGCCTGCCCCCCCCGGCCAAAAATAAAAAAAATGATTTTTACCCCTCCTCGCAACCTGCGCCCGGGGCCACACCCACCGCTGGTGCGGGCGGGGGATGGCTGGGGGCGGAGATGCAGGCGTGCGGGGGTGCAGGGGTGAGGGCGGGGGCGCTGGGGTGCAGGGTGGCGGGGGTGCAGGGGTGCGGGGGTGCAAGGGTGGAGGGTTGTGGGGGTGGCAGGTGTGGGCCAGGGGTGGTGGTGATTTGGAGGGGTGGGGGTCGGGGATCCCCGGGCCTGGGGTCCGGGGGTCAAACCCCAACCCCGGCTCAGGCCCCTGGGATCCCCGGGTGACAACACTGCTCCTATGGTTATTGGCCTGTTTTACCATCTGATGTTGGGCTTTCTGGCTGCTCTCAGCTAATCGCTGCGGTTCTGTCTCTTAGTGAATAATAAATTCTCTAGTGTCAGGTGGCAATCTCTAGATCTGATCAGGATTCAAACAGTCTATACAGCGCCTTGGATGTCACCCCTTGCGGAACTCGTTAGGAGTGCGATTAGTTTTATATGTATCGAATTGTTATAGGCATTTGCTACCTGGGGTC